AGGTGTTGCCCTCACCTTCTGCCTCCACTTTCAATGAACTTTAAAAAAGAATGATTCTTTTCATCAAGGATTGGCTCTCTAATGGCCGAGTTTCAGATATTCACCCCACACAGGTATTTTAGGCATCCTCCGTAGACAGATATTTTGGGATGAGGCATCTTTCCTATGTTCCTCAAATTATATTCTTAAGGCAACTGCTGACAGTATTACTCTATCTCTTCATGAAACAGCTCTCACTCATACTAGACATTGTTTTAAAAATTATGGTGTCATTGCATTTTTTTAATTGGCAAAGCATTAACAAAAAGATTTGTTTTTGTCAAGCAGTTTTGCAATAAACATATTTGGAAAGATTGCTTACTTTCATCTGTAATGATCACACCTTTTGGGTTAGAAATTGGAAGTCCTGGGTTCCAAAGAGGTCTACTTTGCCAGCATTTTGGCTACATGATCTTGGACAAGTTCCTTAATGATCCTGAATTCTTTCTTAAAAAACAGAGCCAAGGAACACCTCTGTTCCTACTTTTGGGTTCATTTTGGGAGTTAAATGAGACTTATGAGACATGTGCTTTGAAGGCCGTGGTGGGGAGGCGATGATTATGAAATCAACTTCCAAGTGTCAATACTGCATTCTGGAAGGTCCGAAGACAGATCCAGGACTGAAGGCAAGGGTGGCTGCAGAGACTAGGGCTGGGGACAAGGTCTGAAGAACTGATGAAGAACAAATAAGCTGCAAGAGCAGAAAGGTGGGCGTTCAGAATTTTCTGAGGCCCATTTTTTCTTTTACCAGCATGAGCTGAGGATGTGGTCAAAGGCAGCAATCACCTACAAACTGGAATTTTAACAATGAAATATGACAGGAAAAAAAAATTAGAAACTAAAGCAAGAGGCAAGATGTCTGGGGGAAAAGAAGTTGGATGAGGTGAAGGAAAGGAGGAAGTTTTTCTGTCTCACTTTTCATAATAACTAGGGGACTGCATAGCAGAAGGAAGAGACAAAAAAAGAAAATCTGTGTTGATCCTGTGAAGGCAGGCAGGCAAAGGAAAGATGTTTCAAGGAAGGTTTTAAAGAGAGGATCTACTTCATAAACAACAGAAGCAGCTGCTCAGAAAGAACGTATGTAGAAGAGATGTTGATTAATGACTCAGTGAAAATGATTTCCAGACACATATTGGCAGTAATTCAAATCGGGGGGGTAGGGAGCCTTCAGATCAGCAGAGAAGTTTTGATATGTTTTGGAGATCCTATCAGGAATAAAGAGACAAGCCTTGTGGGGAGACCTTGGTGGTGATGGAAGGCCAAGGCTAAAATTTCTGACCGTTTGCTCTAGGAAGGAAGGGGCCGATAGAGGAGGCATTGTGATATGGTTTAAAAAATGTATTTGTGATTCCATTCAGAGCTAGAGGACAATCTGGTAGACTTGACAGGGGAACGTGACTGGGAAGGGGAAGCCAAGGTGGAGGTCAGGCTACAAAAGCAGGTGGGGGAGGTAGGAGATGGGGGGTGGTGGGTGAACAGGCAAGATTGAAGAATAACAAAAGCCAAAAAAGAAATGAGCAAACCAAACCCATTTTTCCCCCCAAGGTGTTGTTCCAAATAGGGTCAGAGATGGTGTTGGAGGTCAACTCAGTTCGGAGTCAGCCTAGATCCACGGAGGGTGTCTGGCGTTCATGGAGTTTCAGCACTCACTAGTAAGAGAGCAGGGTGCAGGGGTATGGACCGGAATCCTTGAGGGGCTTGGGGTCCCATGCAGGAGGCTTGTGTACGGAAGCACAAAGCAGGAGAGATCAAGGTCACCACGGGAACAGGTCCAGGCTGACTTGGTGCTGTCCCTTGCCCTCTGATGCAAGCCCCATTTCTGGGTGAAGGTAGGTCCCAGAGTCTGGAGTGAAAAACTGGACCCTATTCCAGCTGGACAGACAGTCCTGGATGGAAGGACAGTAAGACAGCAATTGTAGGAGAAGAAGAAGAGATCACTGGAACTGATATTATGTACAGAAAGGAAATATTTTGGGAAGCAGTTACATGTGGGGTATGGAAAGGGGAGAAGTGGGAGGGATACAGAGAGCATTAGAAACAGAAGCTGAGTGTTCTACTAAGTACGTCATGGATGTAATCTCATCTCTCTACTGCCGTAGCCCTGTGAGGTATGTATATTAACATATATTGCTTCCAGGTCATAGATGCGTGTTCAGGTTTCTTGCTATATATATATATTGATAATAACAGTGGCTAAACTTGACCGCATGTTTGTTATGTGCCAGGAACTTTATAGATTATATCACTCCTTACAACAACAATTGCCAGTAGATACAAGTATGACTTCCATCTTCTAGATGAGAAAGCCCAGACACGGGCACATCTTACAACTTGCCTAAGGCCACACAACCAAGATATGGAAGCAGCCATGAGGCTCACCCAGGCGCTGTGTTTCTAGAGGCCAGTGGTGTAACCACTACAATGAACAGTTGCTGTGAAGCCAGTCAAAACTGAGAGAAAGAGAGAGGGAAGATACACCAACAAGGACTTAGAAGTTATTATTTAAGAGATAAAGAACAGCAGGGCTGGGGATAGGAAAACCTCATCTGGACAGAGAGATTTGAATGTTTAATTTTTAGAGATAGGAGAAATTTATTGATAATTTTAATAACAATGAAGATAATAATAGCACTGCACATTTATTGAAAGTTTAATGTGACAGATCCTGTTCTAAGTGATATATATAAATGTGTATATATATATGTAGATATATGTACATATATATATATCATTGAATTTTTAGAACAATCCTGTGTCTCTTTTATTGAAATCCCAGAATGTACCACATAGTAGGTGCTCAATAAATATTTGTTGAATGAATCTTAAAAGGTAACCATCTACACTTTTTGGAAACTCTGGGCCACAAGGCTGAAGTCCAAGAGGCTCAGCTCCCATGGCCCTCTTGTTTTCTTACTCCATAGCATTTATCTCTGTCTGAAATTATCCTGTTTTTTTTTTTCTTTCCTTTTTTTATTATCTGTCTGTCTGTCTCTCTCTGCATGAGCATGTAATCTCTAGGAGAGCCAAGCATCACTCATCTTGTTTAGTGCTATACTTGCAGCGTCCAGAATGATGCCTTGGGCATAGGAGGTAATTAATAACTATTTGCTGCATAAATGAAAGAAGAGAACCCAACAGAAAGACTCTTTTCCACACCAGTGCACTGAATTGCAGAGCAGAAGGGCTGGCTGCCCATGTGCTCATACACCATCTTTTTCCATGCCTGTTTTCAAAGAGCATCTGTTTACTTTCTCCATCGCTGACTCAACTGTTCATTTACCCAGATAGGCTTAGTTGTGGAGAAAGGAAGAAGTTTCTTGTTTATTTTGTTTTCCACACAGATAAACACAGATCATCACAAAGGTGATCAAACCATCTCTATATGAAAACAACTCTTCCACCTCATACCCATTAGGATGGCTACCATTAAACAACAACAACAACAACAAACAGAAAATAACAAGTGTTGACAAAGGTGTATAGAACTTGGAACAATTGTGCACGTTGGTGGGAATGTAAATGGTGCAGCCACTGTGGAAAACAGCATGGTGGTTCCTCAAAGAAATTAGAGATAGAATTACTATATGATCCAGCAATCTCATTTCTGGGTATATATCTAAGAGGATCTCGACCACTATTTGTACACCCATGTTCATGGCAGCATTATTCACAAGAGCCAAAAGGTGGAAGCAACCAAGTGTCCATCGATGGATGAAGGGATAAACAAAATATGATCTATACACAAAGGGAATTGTGTAAGACTGTTGAATCACAGACCTGTACCTCTGAAACAAATAATACATTATATGTTAAAAAAAAAAAAGAAGAAGAAGAAGATAGCAGGAGGGGAAGAATGAAGGGGGGGAAATTGGAGGGGGAGACGAACCATGAGAGGCTATGGACTCTGAGAAACAAACTGAGGGTTCTAGAGGGGAGGGGGGTGGGGGGATGGGTTAGCCTGGTGGTGGGTATTAAAGAGGGCACGTACTGAATGGAGCACTGGGTGTTATACACAAACAATGAATCATGGAACACTACATCAAAAACTAATGATGTATGGTGATTAACATAACATAATAATAAAAAAGAATTCAAAAAAAAAAAGTAAGGAAATTCTGACACATGCCACAACATGGATGAATCTTGAGGATATTATGTGAAGTAAAATCCTAGGGGCCGGGGGCTGGAGGGAATAGGAAGTTGCTGTTTAAAGGCAACAGAGTTTTGCCAGATGAAAGGAGTTTTGGAGATTGGCTGCACAACACGTGAATATTCTTAACACCATTAAACTGTACTGTTAAAAATGGTTAAGATGGTAAATTTTGTTATGTGCATCTTTTCACAATTAAAAAAAGTAGATTTTAAAAAAGATGACTCTTGGTATGTGACATATGCCTCATTTTAAACAACCAAGATCCTAAAGTGAATGATTCAGTGAAGTCAAATGAAAATGCAGAGTAAATATAAAGGAAGATGGGTGTAAGACAAAGAGGGAACAGCAACACCATAAATAACCTATATTAGAGATGAGGAGGGATTAAGCATAAGCTTTTGGTTTTGCACACTTTTTTTTTTTTGAAGATTTTGTTTATTTGAGAGAGAGAGATTGAGCATGTGCCCACGAGCTGGGGGGAAGGGCAGAGGGAGAGGGAGAAGCAGGCTTCCTGCAGAGCAGGGAGCCCGATGCGGACCTCGATCCCAGGACCCCGAGACCATGACCTGAGCCGAAGGCAGACGCTTAACTGACTGAGCCACCCAGGAGCCCCTGGTTTTGTAGTCTTGATGGTCACTGTTGCAAATAACACTCTTTTCAATGTAAGATATACTTAAGCATTTTACACAAATCTTTATAGGTATTTAAGACTTTGGAGCCTGTGGTGTTTACCAAGTCAGGAAGATTGGACCAGGCCATGACCGAAAATGCTGCTCTGATGTGGCATCTCTGTTTCCCAGACACCCACCTGTCTACACGAAGCTGGCAGACAATGCTTAGGGCATCGACAACTCCTTCTTCTTTCAACTGTTGACAGCCAATGGATGTAGCAATAAAACACCCCGTTCTACCGATCCCTGCACTGAAAAGAAAAGACAAAGAGTAAAAAGGTGGAGGACAAGTAGAAAAGATAAAATACATTCTTTTATTTATTTATTTTTTTTGGTTTTTGAAAATTTTAATCCCAGTATGATATTCATCTCAGCGGTACAATATAGTGATTCAACAATTCCATACAACACCCAGTGCTCATCATGACAAGACAAGTACATGCCTTAATCCCTGTCACCTATTTCACCCATCCCCCCATACACCTCCTCAAGATAAAAGATATTCTTTTAAAAGGGTACGTCTAAATCTGAAACAGCAAGCCAGGCTTAGTAACAACAATGACAAAGCTCTCAGGCCCAGGTGACAAATCTGGCCCAGAGCAGCGCTTGAACTGCATTCCATCATTGAGTTATAGGCAGTAGGGAGAATAGTGAAAAAGGCATTGTAATTATTCTACAAAGAATAATGAGGACCTGAATTTAGGGAAGGTATAGGCACTAGAAAGGAGGAGAAAGACTTAGATACATCACAAATGTGAATCTGGGGGACCAGAGGAAAGGTAGTGCCCATGAGACAATTCTAGAAGAAGGGTTGATTTGGGTGCAGGGGAGGTTGGTGTTGCATATACTGATGCTGAAGATTCCAGTGAATAACTGAAGATTCAGTTGGGTTTGGGAGAAGGATGTGGCCAGAGGCACAAATATCTGAGTCATTTATATCCAGGTGATAGTTGAATAGAAATACTATCCATCCAATCCAGGAGGGTTTGCCCTTTCATCTGCCCTAGATGGTAAATCATCAACCTAACAAGCCCTTTAACTCTCTCCCCATCCCTCCTTCCTCTCCCTCTCCTCCCGCCCCTCAGCAATTTCAACCAGTAATAGTCTTTATGCAAATTTCTCTCAAATTTACATCTAAATTTCCTAAATTTCTCCTAAACTCTAGCTTAGCATTCTATCTCTTAGCTGGAACTCTTGATGTTACTATTTTGCACTGGCTTCGGTTCAATGTATCTAAAGTCAATGTATCTCAAACAGAATTATCTTTTCCCTCAATGGCATTACCAGTTAGCCACAAGTTTTCCAGCCTAGAAATCTTGGAACCATCTCCAACATCTCCCCCTCTCACCTCCCACATCCAATCTGTTATCAATTCTTATATTTTCCACCTCTACTGAAGCTTCTGGGATCCATGCTTTCCTTTCTATAAACTGTGCTCACGTTTTTGACATCTCCTCACTTCATGGTTAGCAATGATCTCATTATGGTTGCCAAGTCTTGAGTCTCTTCCTGGACTAATTCACGATACACACAGCTGCTAGGTTCATCTTTCTAAAATTGGGATCTGATCATATTACTCTCTACTCAAAGACTGTAGACGCCTCCCAGTCGTTACGGGCAGTGTCTGAGCTCCCCACCATGGTGTCACTGGCCTTGCATAATACGAATGTGACTAACTTTCAAGCTTTCGGTCTTGTTACTGTCCTCCTTGTATCCTTTGTGCCATTTTTGTCATCTACATGAATCACTGCAAAATATGGCTTTTATTTTCCAACTTTCTTTTCTGTGTTAAGGATATTCCTTCAGTCAGAAATGCCCTCCTTCACAGCCTTTAAAACCACAAACATTGGTCATTTTTTAAGCCCCTGCTCAACATAATTCCAGTTCTGAGAGGCTCTCCTCCGTCCTCATGGTTTGAATTAATAGTTCCCTCTGGGCACTCAAATAGCACGGGTTTCTCATATTTGGCACTTGTTTCTTTTCTTTTTCTTTTTCTTTTTTGTTTTTTAAAGATTTTATTTATTTATTTGACACAGAGAGACGCAGTGAGAGAGGGAACACAAGCAGGGGGAGTGGGAGAGGGAGAAGCAGGCTTCCCGTGGAGCAGGGAGCCTGATGCGGGGCTCGATCCCAGGACCCTGAGATCATGACCTGAGCCGAAGGCAGATGCTTAACGACTGAGCCACCAGGCGCCCCTCTTTTCTTTTTTTTTAAAAAAGATTTTATTTGTTCATTTGAGAGAGAGAGACAGACAGACAGAGAGAGCACAAGCAGAGGCAGAGGGAGAGGGAGAAGCAGACACCCCCACCAAGCCGGGAGCCCGACATGGGGCTCAGTCCGAGGATCATGACCCGGGCAGATGCTTAACCATCTGAGCCACCTGGGTGCCCTTGGCATTTGTTTCTTATTGGATGGGAGTGCAGAGGAATTCAGAGGTGGAGGGGAGTCCCTTTTAGTTGAAGAGTCTATAAAGAGTTTGTTTCACTAGAGAGAGAGGATTTGAACTGTACCCTACGAATGGAGGCATTTTGGTTATCATGAATGAGGGAATATTCCATGTATGAGAATGGTATAAAGAAAGAATGTTGCAGAACAGGATATATGATGTGCAATAGTGACTAGACTAGCTTGGCCTGAAGAGAAATTTATCCTAGAGAAATAGTGGGAAATAAGACTGGGTAGGCACAATGGGGCCTATAAAGGATCTCACATGGAAAGCTAAGAGGTTTGGACTTCGTCCTCTAAAACAGTGGTGGTTTGCTTTTTGTTGTTGTTGCTATTGAGAATTTGATAAAAACTATGAACTTTCACTCCCCAGAAAAACCCACATAAGTCTATGTACTCCAATTTGTTAAAGTAATTTCAAGAAGTTCAATGACCCCTGTGGTTTATCCATAGACCCAGGGTTAAGATCTTTTGCTCTAGGCAATAGGGTGCCATTGAGAAGTGCTGAGAGGGGATTCCATATGATGAAGGAGGATTTTAGGAACATCGTGCAAGAAAAGTGGATGGGGTAGGCTGAGCTGGGGGTGGGGCACAGGGAAGTGGGGTGTGTTTGTGCAATTAGCCAACTACTTCTAAAATACATGGATGAGGTCATTAGGGCCTGAACTTGGGTGGTTGGACAGGAAGTGATGATTATGGGAGAAGCTTTGAAGGGAAAGCCAATCTGGTGACTGATTAGATACTGAGGCTGGAGTTGAGAGAAGGGCCAAAGATAACTGTCAACATTAGATGTTGAGTGCTTGGAAAAAAGCTGGTCTTATTCTTAGAAATAGTCATCAGCAGGGCAACTGGTTTTATAGGGGAAACAGCTCGTTCGTTTTAGATATCCTGAGTGTTTTATGATTTTGGGTGGAGGACGGTTCCAGACCTAAAACATGACCCATTAGGCTGTCTTTCCTCACCCCCAAGTGAAGTTTAGGATAAAGCCTAATGCTAGAAACTGGATAATGACTCCTTTGGATACATAGGTATATAGTGAATTTCACTTTTAATTAAACCACAAAGGTTCATAGAAGAAGGAGGCTAAAGTTACAATTTAAAGTAATTATATTTTATTTATTAAAAATATCATCAGAAGCTATCTTTCAAGGCTTAAGAGGTTAAACAAAGCAACATAAATTATTTTGACGAAGTACGAAGAATAAATGGCTGGTTATACAAACAACTTTAAAGCGATTTGCTTTCGTTTGGGTACACTAAAAGGAAAAGGGGAATGAGGTATCAGTTATGAGAGGAGAGTTTTAAGCTAGATGTTAGGGAAGGGAACCACCAAGGACATCTGTTGCTTTTGTCTGCCTAGCCTCCAAAACCCCACGTTCTGGTAATAACACTTTGTTCTCCTTTTGACGAACTACCGCTTACCCACTTCCCCCTTCATAAATTTATTTCCACCTGTTGTTTTAATGAAATCACTTTTAAAATAGCTGACTGGTTTTCACCACATTTGACATAATGATAGATACATGTTATCAAGATACCATTCAAGTATGATTCAGGTGCCATCTTGAAACAATAAAAAAGCCATTGATAATTTTTAAAAACGTGTCATTCCTAGCGTCAATGAGCCTGATGAGACTAAACAAATCGATGTAAGTTTCAAGGTCGAGGGCTGAATAAAGTCTCCGGTTCCCTGAGCCATTGATGTAGAAGTGCTGTTCTCTCTACTGTGTCATTGTTGTTTGCTGAAATGCCCTGATAATACCACTTCATTTCTGCAACGTGGCATCTCGGTCAAAACTCAAATATGAAGAAGTTAGCCAATTTCAGTAAATATTGAATTTACCAATAAAGTTGCAACCAGGAAGCACCACCCAACTTCCACCCGTTCAATGACTTTATGGGGGATGAACAGTTGCTTAGACAGAAAGGACAGTTCATCCCTTACCTGCAGTGGACAACCACAGGCCCCCGGCCTGTGGAAGCAAGTCTGTCTTCTTCGACATCCAGCATGAGCTGTAGAAGAGGCTGAGCACTGTCTGGAGTCTTGTGATCAGGCCATGAGGTGTACCAGTAATGTTTCACATGTTGGGTGTGACTTCCTTGCTGCAAATAGCAAGAGCCACCAAATGCCTCATTTACTTGTGGAACTAAAAGTCATCCAAACCACAATACTGAATGCCTTCTATCACTCCCATCTTGTTGGCAACTGACTTCTGGATGGAAAAAAGAAATCTAGGAGGTTGCTGAAGCGTACTCTTCTACCTTGAGAAAACATGACTATACATAGGCTGATGTCCCAGTTTGACAGTCTTGCCTCTATTCAATGAGAAATAGATATTTAAAATCGAAAAGGCATATGAAACCTATGCTATCTATATGTGTGCGATTTGTTGTAATAAAGAGAATGGCAGACGCAAAGGAAGCCAAGAGGGAATTGGAACGGTGTGTTTCCTGCTCTTTGAACATTCTTGACAGTGATGATAAACATATTAGCCCACATAGGAACACTTAATTTTGTACTTGGCCCCTACATTTGACTTTCTATATTCGTCCTAGATTGCAGTTTTTAGCAGCAGCAAGGAGTCCCAGGAATAAAGGAGCTACAAGGGGTTACTAAATTAGACAAGCTTTGAGTGAGGGTCCATGCACATCATCTCATAAGCCAGTGCCCAGGGTGGGGGAGGGGAGGGCCTGGCACGGAGTAGACCCTCGAGGGCATGTGGTGAAAAGGGTGACTTCCTATCTCAAATTTCCCTCTCAAACCCCCAGTGCAGCCCTGCCTCTACTCTCTGTAGGCTTCTGTTCCAGCAGTGAGGCTCTAGATAGGACTGAACTCTTTGAGATGATTGTCCTCTAGAAGCAAAAACACAACCATGGCAATGTTCCTCAGCATCTGCTGCCCATAATTTCAATAAGATAACTTTTGTATGACACAATCTGGTCTGGGGAAAGTCCCCATAAATTACTGTAACTCCAAGTTTGGGAAGATCTCATCAACACTTCAGGCTTGTCTTGCCTCCCACAACCACCCACAAGCACAGATGTTCTCTTTCACAGTTTCCAGGCCTTACTAAAAGCTGCTTAGACCAAAGTCATGTTAAGAAAACAGAAAAACAAAAAACAACAAGCCCCCCACCCCCCAAATCATGGTAAAGCCTCCAGGACAAACCTTTAGTTAAAGGCATTTGAAAGGTTGAATCAGGGATGTTTTGTTTCTAGAAATGAGAAGATCACAACATCCTACTTAGTGAATTTCCTTAATGCCTACTTACATTAATTTAATTATTCCACATACTAAGAGTAGCTGATGACCAAGAAATACATGAGAAGATGATGATCATTTCTCTTTGATCTTGGCATTATTTTTAAAAATTGAATCTGCCATACTTATTAGGATAAATACTTTCAGAGGAGAAATGTAATCCTGTCATACCCTCTACTTTATAGATAGCTCCAGCTACATAATCTTACCTTTAAGACAAGGTTTCGAACAGTGTAGTTGTCACATTCATTTACACTGATGACCAGAACCTCAACTTTCCCATATATTCCTCTCTTTTCTGGCCAGTATAGCACACATTTCTGGAAGGGGAGAACAAAGGAACACAGCAGATATTAATGATTTCACTGGCCTTGGAGTACTTTTCATTCAAGCATCTCAAGAGTTTTTATTTAATTAATTCTAAAAATATCAGGTATCGATTTTACAAGGCTGAAAATGGACTAAAACCACTGAATTGTACATTTTAAACAAGTGGCTTTTATGATATATGAATTGTATCTCAATAAAATTTTAAAAATGAAGTATCAATTTTTACACGTGCCTGTCAAACACTATTTTTACTAATCCCATACCAAAAGGGGGCAAGATTTCCCAAAACCTGAAATTAAGAACTAAATTGAAAAATTAAGCATTAAGAAATTAAAAAATCCAAGTATTAGACTTTATCATGTGATACAATAAAAGGAATGGTTTTTCACAATGATTGAGCCAAGTCATATTTTCATGCTCCGTCCAGTTGAAGCATCTAATAAGAGTATCTGTACTGTGTTAGATGCCACTGAATGAAGGTTCCCTAGTATGTAAAGAAGATGTAATGATCATTAATGTATCTACGGTATTATATTTTCCAGGACCGATGGTCTTTTCACCTATAGGGTCGATTGAAATAAATGTATAACAAAATTATTAAAAAAAACATTTTTAGGGACACCTGGGTGGCTCAGTCATTAAGCGTTTGCCTTGGGCTCAGGTCACAATCCCAGGGTTCTGGGATCGAGCCCCACATCGGGCTCCCTGCTAGGCTGTTCCCTCTCTCAAATAAATAACTATTTATTTATTTGACAGAGAGAGAGCACAAGCAGGGGGAGAAGCAAAGAGAGAGGGAGAAGCAGGCTCCCTGCTGAGCAGGGAGCCCAACGTGGGGCTTGATCCCAGGACCCTGGGATCATGACCTGAGCTGAAGGCAGTTGCTTAACCAACTGAGCCACCCAGGTGCCCCTAAATAACTAAAAATCTTTAAAAAAAAAAAAAAACACCATTTTTATAACGGATCCTCTTTGAAGGGTTTAATAAGAGTAATAATAATTATATTGCAACCATGGCATTATGACATGGTAGTTAAGGTGCAGGGTTTGGAGCCATAGAACTTAGGTCCAAATTTTGGTTTTGCCACTTACAATTAGCTGAGGATCTGTAAGAAAGACACTTAATCTCTGTGGCCTCAGTTTACTCATCACTTACTACATGAAAGGCACTTAGGACAAAGCCAGACATACAGTAAGCATTTAAAACACGTTGTTCTTCTTATTGTTGTTCCAACTTCAGGTTTTTGATCTAAATGATTCAGTCATTACTTCATTATCCATTAGATCATGAATTAAATATTGTATAATTATTATATCCAAGCTACATTATTAAAAGAAAAATACAAAACAAGATTCAAGCATACATGTAGGCTCATATTATTTATTATTTTGCCTTTTAAGCAGCTACAAAAAAACTATGAATTCTGACCACATATTTCAATGATTAAGAAAGTAAAGTGTGAAAGGTGATGTTTTATTTCAAGTGCCCAGAGAAGCAATGTTAACTTTAGAAATACTGTTTAAACAGAACTTATCATTTTCTTGCAAACACACTTGCACATTTATAGAGAAATTCCTTCACATTTATAGAGAAATTGCCTTCAGTCAGGACATTAAGTCCTCAGGATACTTGTTTCTTTACATCCCAGGTCAAAGGCATAGGACCACACTTGAAAAAAATTAAGAACTTACAGATTCAAAAGAGCAACAAAAGAAAGAATCACAAATGTACAGAACTGAAGGAAGAGACACGTAACGTATCAGAAACACACCTCAGGGAGTCTATCATGCTAAGTACTAACCACTTCACATGCTAGAGCCAGGATGGAATCACTGTTTCTTTCATCCATTACAATAAAAACACATTTGCATCCTCTGTGTCCTGGTCCTTTTCCAAACAAAGTAAATCATTTTCACCTCTATTTACATGCCACCCCACACCCAAGATCGGCCGGCAATCAGGCTAAAGGCATACTCTGGCTGACATAACGTTAAGTAAAGAAACCTTTTAAAAATAAAGCAATTTATTTTTCTCCTCATTTACTAGTGCCAAGTGTCTCAAATTTCCCAGGTTTGTTAAAGAGAATCATACTAACCAATCTGCCTGGTTTCTTTCAATGAAGCATCAATTATTTTGCTGTGAGACCCGAGCTATTGTGTAAAACCCATGCCTCCTGGATGAATCCAAGAAGAGTGACAAAGAATCTTGAAAAAGGTATTGAACAAAGAAAGAGGCATTCAGCGGTCCAGCAGTCTGGCATACGTGCCCCATTGTCCACGATGAGCCCTGAGCAGCAGGCCCCTCTTTGGGAAGGTGGCTCTTGAAACTGGTAGGAAAAAGCTGCAAGGCAGGAGCTCAAAACCTGCACCCTGACTCTTAACAATACTTGAACAGTCTTGTGCACCTACTTGATAAATGGAAGCGCTGCTCGGTTCTCTCTCAAGCTTGCCGGGGCCCTCTTGAATGTTTTTCTTGACTCTTTACCAAAAATGCAATTGGCAGTCAGCTCCCAGTAGACAATGCAATGTGACTTGTTCATTCAAACAACCCTTAATTAGCATCCCATCTCCTTTCTGAGATACAATAGCTTATTTTTACACACTGAATACATTTTTCCCCCTTTAGGAGCACATAGAAAAAGAGACCAGATAAATGTGGGTGCTTTTGAATGTGAGGTGGGGGAGAGCTGCAAATGTAGTTGTTTAAAGAGCACAAGTTCATGTTCAAATTATTTTTGTGAACAGCTTTTTAGGGTTTCTTTATTGCGGCACTAACAATGATATGAAAGGCAGAAAATGCAAGGAAGGAAAATGCTCTCTTACAGATAATATTGTGAAACCCCACTAATTGTAGGTAATTCAAAAAAGCATGCTATCTCGCAGAATATAACCCCAAATTATCACTATTCTTTGCTAACTGGGCTGATCCTTTCAGTGAAATTATCTATTAATTCCAAAAATTCATAACTTGGAGGAAAAAAGAGGTTTTCAGAGGCTCATGTGTCTCTTGTACAAACAAGTAATTAGTGAACCCTGACTGTAAAGATTCTGGACTTCAACAAATTCTTCATAATTAGTGGTTTATCGTAAAAGTAGAATGCAGTGCAAAGCAATGCAAACTCCTCTACTTTTTTTTTTCTTTGACCCTCCCTCTCACTTCCACCACATTAGGGCTATTTGTGTATAGAGAGGAAGGAGGTCTAGCTAGTAGTTTAGTTGCCTGGAAAAAAAATCTATTTTTAAGTTACTTTCTTTTTGAATTCTATGCATTTAAAATAAAAAAAGATTTTGCTCTCTGAGCTGAAGACACATATCATCACATAGACAGTGGCTCTAAATAAATAAAAAGAAGATGGTCAGTTTCATTTGGGTTATATTAGCATATGAGAGGTATAGGATGGGTCAGATTGCCTACAGTTATTACAGTTACTTTCATTCCTGTGTTCCTACTAAGTATTACCAACAAAGGTGCAGCAATTTATTATTACAAGTACCTTCACCAACATATCACTTAATCCCTTCCACAATCATTTGAATTAGGTACACTGGCTTAAGTATTATTATTATTATTATTATTATTATTATTTATCATTTGACAGCAGAGGAAACTGAAGTTCAGGTATTCTGATAGGGGGCTCTGGGAAAATTCCCTTGGGTACTAAAACTCTCAGAGCAAGTATCATCTTAAAAATTTAACTTTCTATCTTTGATATCCACTGTCTCTTAACCAACCCTACTTTGCCACCGCATTAACCAGTGGCTTTCCTTCTCTCTGTGTAGTAGGCTGGTGCTCATGCAACACAATGTTCTCAGGCCGCCTCCTACTCAGCTCAGTACTTCTGTTACCATTGACTGAGCTGTTACGTGTTCACCAAGGGGTACTTACATTCAAATCTTCTTATGGCAATTGTAACTCATTAGTGAAGCTCGGTAATTTAATTTTACGTAAACTAATGAAACAGAAAGGTGCAGAGGAAAAGGGAATTGTTCTAGGAAATAACTGTACAAGTTAAATAAGTTTTTCATTGGAAAAAAAAGGACTCAGTAGAAAAAACGGTAGTCAAATCAGGTACAGGTGACAATGATAAAAGTCAGTGCAAAGTTTGAAAATCTATGGAGGATTCTGCAAGCACAATTCCTTTACAAACTTTTCCGTGTTCTCTCTCATTTTAAAGAAACTGAAATGGGAAATTTTGATGATGTATAAAGGGCATGATTTACATAAGCCATATGATCTAGAACTCCAGCTTCGGACCAACACTAACAAAACAAAACAAACTGAGTCCTATGAAAAAATGAACAAATTTTAGTGTGAGCAAATGTACATGCCTTAAGATAAAGTAAAGCATTAGAGTTCTGTTGTTGTTGTTTTTGTGATTTTTCTACTAACTTTTTTGGCTAATTGTGTCAAATAAGAGGGCTTCTAACTATAGTTAGAAGTAAAGCAGGCTACAACAATTGAGTAAAACCTAGCAAGTAAAAAGTTAAGGTGCAGTTATATTTGGAATATAAACATGTTTGAAAGGACAGGTGAGTAATTTTGCCCGAGAGCTGTCAGCCTCTAAATTACGGGCCACACTTAATTGCTTGGGCAGGACAAGCATAGGAAATGGGAATGAGAGATTAGCTGTCCAGCATTGCCAGGCAGTGCTAGGCCAGGCTGCCTCTCTAGATATTATAATTGCTAATTCTGGTCCTCCAGGAAAGCTGAAAACTGGTCAGCAGGCTCCCCTGTCTACCTGCCAGGCTAGCCTTCAACATTACCTTCCTTGACCTTGTTTGGACAGACACCTGATCCTGAGACTTGGTTTGCTTGGGGTTTTTTTTTGTTTTTTGTTTTTTGTTTTTTTCATTCTTGGTACAGGCATACCTTGTTTTATTGAGCTTCACTTCATGTGCTTTTTAGATCCTGCATTTTCTACAAATTGAAGGTTTGTGGCAAGCCTGCCTGGAGACTCCTTCCTGGAGTTTATTAGCACCATTTTTCCAACCGTTTTTGCTCTCTTCATGTCTCCATGTCACATTTTGGTAATTCTCACATATTTCAAACTTTTTCATTATGATTACATTTCTTATGGTGATCTGTGATCACTATGATCTGTGGTGTTACTATTGTCATTGTTTTGGGGTTCCATGAACTATGCCTATCGATACTTGGGTGTGCTCTGAGTGCCCCACTGACTGGCCATTTCCCGTGCCTCTCCCTCTCCTGGGGCGTCCCTATTCCCTGAGACACAACAGTATTGCAATGAGGCCAGTTAATAACCCTACAATGTCCTCTTGGTGTTCATGTGAAAGGAAGGGTTGTGCATCTCTCGCTTTCAGTCAAAAGCTAGGAATGATGAAGCTTCGTGAGGAAGGTATGTCCAAAGTCGAGATAGGCTGAAAGCTAGGCCTGCTGCACCAGTGTGCCAAGTTGTGAATTCAGGGCAGAAGTTCTTGAAGGAAATTAAAAGTGCCACACCAGTGAACAGATGAATGATAAGAAAGAGAAAAACCCTCTTGGTGATATGAGAATACTGGGATTATTAAATAAGAGCTTGGCAATTATTCATTTATTTATTAGAAAGTAGAAAGGTTCATGAAAATATAAAGGCTGGGAATTTCTAAAGATAACTCCACCTTCATTTTTTGGGGAGGAAATGATTTTTGTCTATTCCAAACAATGACGCTCAACACAATTGAAAGTTGGCACATTTTTGGTAAACAGCATTTTCCTGGTAGTGTGAAGCTTACTGCGTATTTCTTTTGAGCCAGACTTCTCAGTATCATTTTGATCTGCAAAACATCAAAGTTTCCTCTATGGAATTATATTTACATCATGGAGCGTCTGGACTGAAAGGAATTTTTAATTTTAATTTAATGAGTAATGCATTCTACTCAGATTGAAACAATGTTGCTAAATGTTGCTAAATGTGGCATGCATTCTGGGTCATCAATTACTGTCTTTCCTCCCTTGCTAGGTACTGTTCTTCTGATTTTTGGCTTCTATGGCTGCTGCTGAGAAGCCATTTGTTAGTTACTCTGTTGTTAAAATCATCTCTGCAGTGTTTTTTAGTTTCATAGTTGTATCTAGTTGTGGATTTATTTTTACTTACTAGCCTAGGATTTATGGTGTTTCTCAAATCTGACAGCTCGTGTCTTTTATCACTTCTGGAAAATCCCTGGCCACTATTTCCTCACATATTACTTCTTTTCTTATGTTCTCTTTTTTCTTCTTCTAAAATATCCATTATATATACATTGGACATTTACATACTAGGTCTTAACTTTCTTTCATATTTTTGGTCATTTCAATCTTCTGGGTAATTTCCTTAGCTCTATTTGTAACCCAGTCATTATTTTTATTCTGCTATGTCTACCCTGCTATCACACCTGTCTAATGAAGTGTTCTTTTTAAATTTTAATATCTACATAACATTTATTTCTAGGACTCTTTGGTTTGTTTTTACATCTTCCTAGTTTTCTTGGGTAGTAACTTCTTCCCCTGTCAAGTTTTTAATCTTATATTTTGTGTGCTTAATTATAAAAAAAAAATAGCCTGTATTTATAGTTTCTATTATTTTCATTTCTTGTGGGTCTACTTTACCTGCTTGTTGCTTCTTCTGATTTTTCCTTACGTTGCTTATTTACTTGTGTTGTCTCATAACTTTGACTTGTGAGCTTATGTTTGGCTGGGCTTTTTCTGTTGAAATTCTGTGATGTAGATCCTGAGAGTATATGCATCCAGAAAGCTTTTGCCTTTGTTTCTGTAAAGTGCCACTGAGCGTTATCAATCCAGGATTACGTTTTGCATTAATTGTTCTGCTTGGGATTTCCTGGTTTTCGAATGAGGTTCTACAGCGAACCTTTTTATCTATCTCATGAGGAGACCAGATTTAGATGGATTAATTTCCTGTTATAGTCCTATTTTGGTCAGCAGGTTTATTTTTGTGGCTCACCTTTTTACTGAAGGCACAGCCCTTGCAGGAGCTCACTCTATGGAAGGTCTCCATTCCAGCTCTTGGCTCCTGCAAACTCAAGGCTTTATCTCCAGTTCTTGTTAAAGCACAAGTAACCCATAATTCTCTGGCTTTATGCCTTTTATTCAGTTTTTAACTGCTGGGACTTTTTTCCCCCCAAGCTCTGTTAGGCATGCTATTTTTATTTTACTATTTTATCTGTAAAACATCAAAGTTTCCTCTATAGTATTATATTTACATCATGGAAGCTCTGAACAAAAAGGAATTTTTAATTTTAATAATGAGTAATGCAGTCCACTCAGATCTAGGAAATGTTGCTAATTTATGTTTTATATTTTAAATTTTACCTAGTATGACTAGTTTTATAATGGGAGGTTTTTCAGATGATCTAGCCTGTTTGTATGCAGGCATGCATATACACAGAGAATACACCTTTTAAACTTGAAGAGTCTGTTCTGAGTAGGTAAAATAAAGGCAAAATGTTGTGGATATTAAACAACTGTGCAGGAATTATCAGTGGCCTGATGTATTGATATATTGCTATGGGTGAAACAGCTGAAAATATTAGGGGCGGTTTTTATTATACCTCCTCAGGCTTTCATATAAGATTCATAGAAATATATTTATTTAGTAAGCTATATAGTTAATTAAGTATATAGCTTCATCTACTGGCCCAAAATACACTTGTTTTTCTAGGATAGATTTCAGAAAAAAATCCTTTATCTACTGTAGCAAAAATGAAAGAAGGCAACAAGCTTTACAAAACTTATAAACTGCTGCTTGTGAGCCTGGAATTTCTTGATTAGCACAAGATTATACTATACTGAAGGGTTATAACTCACCAAAAAGGTATAAGGGAAAGCTCGGTTTTCTTAAATTCTTATTGTCATCGTGAAGCTCTGATACAGTAATTTTGACGAGAAAGCAAACACAAATGCTGACTAAAATACAGTAAATTATTCCAATAAGATGCCCTAAAATGTAAGCAGTACATAGCACCCCTTGGGAATTACACAATTCTGTTTTTATGATGTAAAGTACTGAATGAGTGTTCTGTAAACTATACCCTTAGGAAAGACTGCTAGTACGGAAATGGAATCTAACCTTGTCTCTCTCTTGGATTTCTTGTTATGAAGATATTGAAAAAGTTGCTTGGCTTTTGTAGCTTCCTTCAAATCTCCCTTGCTCAGTGGGGCTTCATCCCTCCTCCCCATATCATACAAAAGCTTACTCTTCCCCCCTCCCATCCCTCCTACAGCTCAGCACACCCAATCTCCTTATCCTACCCACCTTGTTCCCCCTATACCATTTATCCTTTCTAGTTGCTACAGTTTTATGCATTTATTATGTTTATTGTTTTTTAATCTGTCTTCCCCATTAGAAAGTTAAAATCTACCAATGGCAGGCATCTCTGTATGTTTTTTTACTAGTATATTACCAACAACTTAAGTAGTATCTGTCACATCGTAAGTGTTCAAAAATTACTTGGGATATGAATGAGTAATTTTTTTTTTATTTCCCTGCTTATAAATTGGAGTGATAATTCCTAGCCCCTCATTTCCTTACAGAGATATGTGGGATATGTGAGATACATGTATGTCAAGTATACTGATTCTTCTGATAGAAAGCTGCCATTCATACAATGACACCAATGACCATTCTTGGAAGCATGAAGTGAACTTGTCTTTCAATGTCTTAAAATTTCCATCTTAAATTCATTCCGAAGTACATGGCAATTTTCCTTATACAACATCTCTTCTATAGCAACAGAAAATTTATAACATTCACTACTTGGGTAAAGGTCATACCTCATTTTTTTCTTTGAGTTTTGTGATCATGACAATCACGGGACTGTCTTCCTGCCAAACCATCTGCCAGAAATCATTCACGGTGTTGATCATGGGGCCCTGTGTGGCAATGAATACTTTCTCTTTGCCACTGTAGCCCTGGTTTGAGTAAAGAGACAAAAATACTGGATTTGAAATTCATGCCTTCCACTGAAAGTTTAGAACCAGTTAAGAACAAATTGGCTCGACTAGTCCAGACGCAACACCAGCTTTCACAGCTTCACTGACTCTAGCACCATTCATCCGGATGCTCTCCCAGCAAGTCAAGCACAGCGCACAGCAGTGAGCGGCATAATGCCCCGTGCTCACCAGAGCACCCCAGCACCCAGAGCACTGCAGCCAGAGACGCACAGGAAAGGATGACTCAAGATAAAGGACCTGCTACCAACGTCGATTATGACAAACGAACGAATAAGCTTGCTAGTAACCGAGTTAAATCAAAATTAATTCACTCTGAGGGGGAAAAAAAAAAAAAAAGCCCAACAATTTCAAATAGTAAGTCGACATGCTCATCAGAAAGAAATTTATAGTTACTTACTTACCCTAATATAATTAGCATTAATGTAGGTGCTCAAAGAATCAGTTACATTTTTTGGTCTTAGGCACACTCTGCTGAGGGGATCTAATGAAGAAAATAAGAAGGAATGCATTAGACAAATTTACCCTTTTTAAAGTTCCTTAGAACACCAGTAACTGTACATAGCACACTTGTTAATTTATATACTGACCATCTGGCTTGTGTCAATGTTTGTTGCTGATGCATCTGTGTGTCTGTCTCTTGATCCACCTGTGTTTATTGAGGGACAATTGGGCCCATCTTGGCCCCTGTCTCTTAACACAAATCTTGCCCATAAGCTTGAGACGATGAGTTTATTCATCATGCTATTTTTTGTGCGTTTCTGATTCTTGACCTCATTTCTTTTTTATGCTCCTTTTCCTGTTCTTTGGATTTGGAATTTGTACCAGATTTTCTTACTCACTTCCCTCTTCTTTTCTGCCCAATAACAAACACTTGGTCTGGCCCAAATCCCCGTCCCTAAAGAAGCTGTCTTTAGTTACCCTGTGTGGCAGTTTGTCCACCTAGAGCAGGAAAACCTGCTATTAGGCAGATTGTTATAGTGCTAGCAACATTGTCTTAACTGTTCAAATCATTTTCCATCCAGAACATGGTGTTATGGAAAATATGGTAGCTATTTTGACCAATGTTTACATAAATGAATTAAGATCAAATCATCCCTTTATGATTTCTTTAGTCAGACACACTCTGAGCCTCTTAAAGGTAAAGATGGAGATTTTTCATTATATCTAAGACTTAGATATATTTTATGCATTTTATGCATTTTAAGTCGATATGTGTATTTTAAATTTATAAGTCTAAGACTTAGTGTCTAGGACAGTGCTTATATATATATATAAATATATATATATATATATTTATATATATATATATAGTAGACCCTCAATAAATGTCTATTGCATTGATTTAGATGGTTCTTTCCATTTTTTAAGAAGTCAGTTCTATGCATTCCTCTCTAGTAATTGTTTTATTACTGTTCTTCTCTAGACAGGTAAACTTGTGAGAGCTTATCATACCCACTGTTCTTACCTCCTCCTCTAGAATTCAATCCTCCTTGTGTACACCCCAATTTATTCTAACCTTAGTTTTATGCAGAGACTACTTTTGCTGATGCCACCAATGACTCTTTTTGTTGACCTAAACCAAATCAGCCTATTGTGGTATTTTTTCATGTTTTATTTTAATATTTACCATCTTATATTTTAAGTGCTTACATTTTTTGCCTGCCCTCAATGAATTGTACTGAACCCCTTAAAGGCAAGAATTGTATTTAATTAACTCTTTTTTTTTTTTTGAAACTAACTTTTGTATCCTTTGCAATTTCTACCTAGTATGTGGCTCATAGGGTGCTTAATACCAGAAGTCATTTCTATTAGAGTTGAAACACTGTTTTTGACTTTCTAGATTCCTTTTCTTTCTTAGCAAAGGGGACAGGAAAACTTTCATTCATTTTCCATATCCACTGACTATCAGAAGCTTCCACAGGGCTCTACACCAGTGAGACTTGAAAAGAGGCCCACTTCCTTCAGTTTTTATAATGCCTACCATGTATATGATTTATTGGGAACTCAGCCCTATAAACTGCTTAGAGACAGGTTTCTCATCAAGCTAAATTTAGTTTGGAAACTGGTAATTTATAAGATTTCCAAGTATTTAGAGGTTTCCAAAAACTTTTTAAACAAGAATGAACCATAGGACTGAGTAAGGGAAAACTGGCATCCTAACCAAAGCCTTTTAGCCTTTTTACTCTTAGGCTGACTAATAAAAAAAGCTGAGGATTAAAGAAAATCCAAAACTTTATCATCATTGTCATCATCATCATTATTTTCATCATTACTGTTATAATGTATTCATTTTATGCATTTTAAGTCGATATGTGTATTTTAAATTTATATATTGGTCAAATTCACTATGATAACCTTTTTCAGGACAGCTATTTCTGGATTAGATGTTGAATATTTAGCATGCCACTTATGACACATCTGGGAAGTGGTAATAACAATTCCAACACTGAGCAATTTTTCTTCCCTTGCCTCTGCTCTTCCCCTTTTATTTCCTTCCTTCTCTCCTCTTGCTTTCTTCCTCTTTCATCCCCCTTTTCCCTCCCTCCCCTCTTGCTCTCTTATTCCTTCTCTTCCTTCTGCTCTCCTTCCTGTTTCTTTTTTCCTCTGAACAAATTATTGAACACATACAGATTTAGTGTACAGAACACATGAAATTTCCCCGTCTAGCCTCTTTAAAATACCTCTGGCAATTTAAGTCTTCTATTTAACAGACAAAATGGTACCTGGATCCTGATAGTCTTTAATTTTTTTTTTTAAGATTTGTTTATTTATTTGAGAGAGAGCGAGTGCAAGGGGGAGGGGCAGAGGGAGAGGGAGAGAGAAACTCAAGTAGACTCCACTCTAAGCGTAGAGCCTGGCACTGGGCTCAATCTAACCACCATGAGATCACAACCTGAGCCAAAGCCAAGAGTCAGTTAACCGACTGTACCACCCAGGCGCCCCTGGATCCTGATATTCTGACTGGCATCCTATCAGATTTTGCCAAAGGTTATTCTGTGTTGAAGATTTCTTCTCTGGGCAGAAATGCATTTGAGGTTTGGAGTCAAGAGGAGAAGATATTAGATGAAAGAAGAGTTTATACTGCTAGTGTATCCCTGGGCAAAGACAGGGATGAGAGGGATAGCATAGTTTTTCTGGATGAATTCAAGATAAGTGGGAAATGGGAGGAAGGGCAAGGACTTGGGTCCTCCTTCAAGGTGACTGGGAGTCACCTTCAGTTTGCTGCAGGAGGGAGAGAACACTCCAGGCCTGCATTATCCAATATGGTGCCACTAGCCACACGTAGCTAACTTTAAGTTAATTAAAATAAAATAAAACTTAAAAATCAGTTCCTTGGGTGCACTGGCTATACTTCAAGTGCTTCATTGCTATATGTAGCTAATGGCCATCACATTGGAGATAGAGAGCATTTCCATAACTGTACAGGGTTTTGACGGACAGTGCTGATCCTGGCAATGCAAGATGGCGATTATATGGAAACTCACTTTTTAAGATCCATGTGAAAATTATAAGAGAAAACAGGGCTCTTAAATAGTCTGCTTTTGAAACTGTAAAGTCTTCTTTCCCTAGTTAGTGTTATTATTTTCTGGAATTGGTTCTGGGGTTAATGATCAATGCATCCTCAATTAGGTGGAGGGAAAGGAGAAACTAACATTAGGTGGGGGCTCACTATTAGTGGGAACTTCCCTTTTCACATATGATTACTTAATTCTCTCCACGGCCCTATGTAGTAATATTATTATCATCACTATCTTTAGGGATGAAGAAAGGATGGCACAGAAAGATTAAGTTGTCTGCCGTAAACTACGAATGCTCCTGCCAGGATAGGGAGGCAAGTCTAACTCCAATATTTTGTTTGAGCCACACAACTTGTTGCCTTAATGAGTGGCTCACTTACTTGCATATCTACTCTGTTCTGGGCACCTAATAGAACAGGAAACATTAGTAAGAAATATTACCAGACTTTAAATTTTTAAATATGAAATGATGGCCAAAGTAATTAGAGTTTAATTAATAGAGTTCTTTAATTTCATCTATGTTTTTTTTTAATTTTGTTTTATTATGTTATGTTAATCACCATACATTACATCATTAGTTTTTGATGTAGTGTTCCATGATTCATATGATGTTTTATATTTGTATACATAAATTGCATGGAATAAATATACATGAAATTTGTTATTATACTTCATTGTGCAAGTAACTTCATATTGATGTGTGATCAGTTTTTTTTTCCCATTGCTTTTGTGATTTAGGACATAGACATATTTTCATCATTAATATTTGTTTATGTTGCAAAATAATGTGATATAAATTTACCCTTTGCACTTTAATCTACCACATAGAGTGTTCTGAGCCAGGCTGACATCATCCTTAGAGAAACAGCCATGATTTAATTTGTTCTTGGTCATCCATATTTCTGCTGCAGAACATCTTCCAAATTATATGGCCTCACTAATATGTACAAGCTGGAAGCTTTTTTTTTTTTTTTTAAGATTTTATTTATTTATTTGAGAGAGAAAGAGTGAGAGACAACACAAGAGGGGGAGGGGCAGAGGGAGAGGGAGGGGCAGAGGAAGTGGGAGAAGCAGACTCCCCACTGAGCAGGGAGCCTGATATGGGCCTCCATCCCAGGACCCTGGGATCATGACCTGAGCCGAAGGCAGACGCTTAACCCACTGAGCCACCCAGGTGCCCCCACGCTGGAAGCTTTTAAACTTGAGTTTATTACAGGTTAAAACAATTTAAAAAAACATAATACTTGGGGGACCTGAGTGGTTCTGTTGGTTAAGCATCTGCCTTCAGCTCAGGTCATGACCCCAGGGTCCTGGGATAGAGCCCGCACTGGGCTCCCTGCTCAGTGGGGAGTCTGTTTCTCTCTCTCCCTCTGCCCCTCCCCCCCGCTGGTACTCTCTCGTGCTCTCTCTCAAATTAATCAATAAAATCTTAAAAAAAAAAACCAGTAATACTTAAAATCTTAATCATTTTTAATTCTTTTATGTAATGTTTAAAATTTATCCCATATTATAGTCTAAAATAATCTATAAGGAATAGCTTTCCATATAAATTCCAGTCTTCTCTGATGATTTCAACCAATAGTGTGGTGTGCCCAAACTATACTTACTAAATTATATTTTGTGCAACAGGGGGTGGGTGGTGCATTCAGGCTACAGACATTTTCAACAGAAAATCCATTATTTGCAACATCAGTTGTCAGCACAGGTGTCCTGGTTCAAGTGATCCACCCAGTTCTGGGAATGGAAAAGCTGACACAGGACTACGAAGGACTATGTCTGATATCATCTGGGCAGGAAATAGAGAAGGCTGAACTTTATTTATTTTTTTATTTTTTTTTAAAGATTTATTTATTTATTTTAGAGAAAGAGAGAAAAGGAGAAAGAGTGTGTGAGTGCGGGGAGGGGCAGAGGGCAAGCGTCTTCAAGCAGATTTCCCGCTAAGCCAGAAGCCCAACATGGGGCCCTGTGGGGGCTCGATCTCATGATCCATGAGATCATGACCTGAGCTGAAACCAACAGTCAGATGCTTAACTGACTGAGCCACCCAGGCACCCATGAGAAGGCTGAACTTTCAATAATTCTAATAATTTCTGAATCCTAACATTAGATGGTTAAGTAAAATTGCAATGAATGTATATGTCCTAATTACTTATATTTGGTATTTCAGATGAAAAATCTTGAGAGAGAGAAAGACAGAGACAGAGAGAAGCACACCTGTAACACACAGCACTTTCATCCCCTTTAGCCAGCTCTAGTTATAAAATATCTTTCAACAGGGACAATACTGTATAGAACCATTAAAAATATATTATAGTGGAGCGTTTCCAACTCCGCCAGAGGGGGAAGCCCAAAGACACCATTAACAGTAATTCTTGATATTACCATAAATATGGAGAATTTGATGTTTTATGAGTGAATCAATGGGCTTAATTATACAGACTCTACTATTTCAATATCCATACTTTTAAAAAGTTTTGTGGCTCCATCTTTCCAGAGCTATTGTTTTGAGATGTTTATGGATTTTACCAAAACCCCAACCATCTGCTGTCTAGAGATTGACAATGTTACATCCTCCTCAAAGCATTTTTGCCACTCTAAGCAGAATAACTCAGTCCTCTCTATACTCCTACACTACTTGGGCCAGATCTCAATTCTGGCTTTTAGTACATTAAACATAATTACTCATTTACATGACTTTCCCCTCTAGGCCATGACCTCCTTGATCTTAAAGGCTATTCCTTATATCTTAGTGGTTCCTGGCATCTGGCTCATTGCTTGACATCGATAAATTTCATGGAGTTAAATTTAGTTTTTTTCCTCAAAGATTTTATTTATTTATTTATTTATTTGAGAGAGAACACAAGCAGGGGGAGCAGCATAGGGAGAGGGAGAAGCAGGCTCCCTGCTAAGCAAGGAGCCCAACGTGGGGCTTGATCCAGGACACTGAGATCATGATCTGAGCCAAAGGCAGACGCTTAACCAACTGAGCCACCCAGGCACCCAAGTTAAATTTAGTTTTAACATTGACTAAACAGTGTTTCTCAAAGTGTGGTCCTGGTATTATCTGTATCAGAATCACCTGGGTGCTTGCTTAGAAATATGGGGAGATGAACCATGAGGGACTATGGACTCTGAGAAACAAACTGAGGGTTCTAGAGGGGAGGGGGGTGGGGGGATGGGTTAGCGTGGTGATGGGTATTAAAGAGGGCACATACTGCATGGAGCACTGGGTGTTATATGCAAGCAATGAATCATGGAACACTACATCAAAAACTAATGATGTAATGTATAGTGATTAACATAACATAAAAAAAAAAAAAGAAAAATATGGATTCTTGGGCCCAACAGCAGACTTACTTAAACAGAATCCCTGGGTGGGACCCAGGACTCTAGATTTTTTTTTTTCTTTCATCCATTAGGACTCTGGATTTTTATAAGGACTCTAGATGATTATTATGCACAATGAAATTTTTTGGTAACAGCTTTATTAAGATGTAACTCATATACCATACAATTCACACATTTAAAGTGTGCCATCATAGAATTCTTTTTCTTTATTCACAGAGTTGTGCAACTGTCACCACAATCAATTTGGTAACATTTTCCTTATTCTCAAAATAAACTCCACAGCCTTTAGTTGTTTAGTGGCTATTTCCCATGCCTCCCAGCACTAGGCAACCCCTGAGACAGTTTCTGTCTTTATAGGTCTGTCAATCCGGCCACTTCACATAAATGGAATTATATAGTATGAGGTCTTTTGTGATGGCTTCTTTCACTTAGCATAATGTTTCAAGGTTCATTCATTTTGTAGCAGGCATCAGCACCTCATTCCTCTTTATTGCTGAGTAATATTCCATTGTGTGGATATTCTACATTTTATTTCTCTATTCATCAGTTGATGGATATTTTGGTTGTTTCCACCTTTGGGGCTTTTATAAATAATACTGTTACAAACATTTGTGTATAGCTTTCTAATATCAATACTTTTTAAAAGTCTTTGTGGCTCCATCTTTCCAGAGCTATTGTTTTGGAATGTTTATGGATTTTGCCAAAACCCCAACTATCTATTTGTCTAGTGATTGACAATGAAATGTTTTCATTTCTCTTGGTTATATGCCTAGGAGCAGAATGTCTGAGTCATATAGTAACTCTAGGATTTGCGTTTTGAGGAACTACCAGACTGTTTCCTAAGTAGCTGCACCATTTTACATCTCTACCACCAATGTGTGAAGGTTCCAGTTTCTTCCTATCCCTGCTGGCACTTTCTATACGGTCTATCATTTTTATTATAATCATGTGGATGTGAAGTGGTATCTCATTGTGGTTTTGATTTCCCTATGGCTAATGATGTTGAGCATCTTTTCAAATGCTTATTGACCATTTGTATATCTTCTATGGAAAAATGTCTATTCAAGTCCTTTGCCCATTTTTAAATTGGGCTGTCTTTTTATAACTAAGTGGTAAGAGTTCTTTATACATTCTAGATAGATGTCCCTTATTAGATGCATAATTTACAAATGTTTTTTCCCCATTTTGTGAGTCCTCTTTCTATCTTCTTGATGGTACCCTTTGAAGCACAAAAACTTTTCATTTAGTAAAATTCAATTTATCTATTTTTTGTTGTTGTTGCTTATATTTTGGTGTCATATTTAAGAACTTATTGACTAATTCAAGGTCATGAAGATTTACTTCTGTTTTATACTAAGAGTTTTATAGTTTTAGCTCTTACCTTGGGTCTGATCCATTTTGAGTTGATTTTTGTATATGGTGTGTGGTAGGGTCCAACTTTATTTTTTTAAAGATTTTACTTATTTATTTGGGAGAGAGAGAGTGAGCAAGAGAGAGTGCACAAGGAGGGGGGAGGGGCAGAGGGAGAAGAAGAAGCAGACTCTTCTGATGAACAGAGAGCCCAACATGGGGCCGATCCCAGGATCTTGGGATCATGACCTTAGCCGAAGGCAGACTCTTAACCAGCTGAGCCACCCAGGCACGCTCATGCATTTAACTTCATTTTTTTGTAAGTGAGTATTCAGTTGTCTCAGCACCTTTTGTTGAAAAGACTATCTTTGCCCATTGAATTGTTTGATGAAATCAGTTGACCATAATGTGTGGCACAATAAAATTTTAGAACCATGTCTCTGCTGGAATTGTGAGCTGACCATTATAAGAAGAGTAATACAAGATAAAGTTATGAACCTCAAAATACTTTCATGGTTAGTAGTCTTGATGTGCATTCATAACTCCAAATTTGGTGTTTATGGAGAAGTTTTGAGGATGGGAAATGATGAGGTAAGGGTGAATGAGGAAGGCTTGTGCTTTATAATGCAAACTATTTAATTCAAGAAACTTACTTGGCAAAATGGTCTTATAACGATTTTTAGTTCCATGACGTGGAATGTCAATTTCTTTGGGATCCACAAAGTTCATTGGTATTTCCTGAAAAAATAAATGATATCAAATTAGTGTATCTAAAGCTGCCACAAAGAAAATCTTCACAGGGGGCCATCTGATCCAGAGTGCTACTGAACTTCAAAGTCATTTATAAAACAACAGACTACCACCTCTGGTTGACCAACACCCTTCCTTTCATAAACATATTAGCTGCACCCTGGCAAGCTGACTCTAAGAAACAGCTTTCTGTGTTAGAAAGTATTATTTTACATATGGTTATTAAAGAAACATATAAAACTTTGATTAGATTTTTAAAATTCTGTTCTGACATGCTTGCTAGAAATATATATAGACAGCTGAAAATTGACGATGTATTAAAATTTTAAAAAAATCTTTATATAAGTCACCAAAAATTTCACTATGATGTATTCTCTTTTAACATTGTATGACTCTTTTAGGATTATTAGAACCTCCCTCCCCAAATGGTAAATACAAAGGGCGTTTTTGTTGATTCAAGTGACGGCAATATAATGTTTTTTTGTATTAAGGAATGGTTTATAATTGTACTGTTCCATTTGGTTTTTATTTTGTTTTTTTTTTTACCTTTTTTATTTTTTAAATTTAAATTCAATTAATTAACATACAATGTATTATTGGTTTCAGAGGTAGAGGTCAGTGATTCATTGTACTGTTCCATTTGTCGCTGTAAATGCAATATTTTTAGTGAAGGGCATCCAGACACTGTTTTCTCCCACTTAACAAGAATATAAATGTTTTTACTCAGAATATATGTCATGGGCCTCAAATGATTGCAGAAGGAACAATTAGAGCAGAAATGGCTCAGTGGAAATGAATTAGATCTAAAAGGTGAGCATCTGTAGATGGCTGGGACAAAGAAAGCAATAAGCCAAAGTTTTCAAAAGGGTCAAAACAAATATGTAAGGATTTGATTATACAAAATAGTATGATCTCTAGTTAAAATTCTGCAAAAGATTGCTTAGATAAATATTAATGTGAAATAAAGGAACTTTTATCTTTAGATCACATGAAATACTATTTTCGTTACTTGAACTTTCTCCAGTGGAAAATATAACTCAATAGCCTAATAGTCATTGGAATGAAAGAAATTATCTATAAATTAATTCAAATTTTTCTAGTTTTCAGTCAGTGTGGAAATTTGAGATCATGAATTTGAGATGTGGTCTACAGAGAGGAGTAGCTTAGTTTTTAAATATCCTTTCCTAAACTTGCATTATTTTAGATATTTATAATATTCATCCCTACTCTCTGCTCCAACTAAATATTATAACTTCTCAGTTCCAAGTTACCAAAATAAGCAAAATTGTTGAATGTTCAGTAGAAAGCACATATTTATGTTTGGTAATTTCAAACAGGTCAATCTGTTTTGGCAAAGCCACAATATGTTTATTCCTCCCCTGCTTCTTCCTGCTTTCTGACACACACTGACAATGACCATCTTCCAATATTATCCTTCTCTTTGATACTCCTTGTTGGCCTCTTCTTTCCTTTAAGGGCTTATCTCAAAAAAGCTATCTGTAGTTCTAGAAAAGAATATTAGGTGTACTTTGAGCTAGCTGCATGATCATTCACTGGTTCTTTCATCTTACTAGGTTTTCTTCATATGTGAAAAGATGACATACTACAATATCTAATGTTAAAAACTGCATGTTCATGTTTTCCTTTGGATGCTTAATAATAGTTGATGAGGCTAATGGTAAATCTAGCCCATTACGAGATATTTCATCATTAGAATGGTTGCAAATATCTGAACAGACCCTGGAATGATCAATTTATTAAAATCAACAGACTTGGCTTAAGATGTATTTAAGATGTAAAGTGACCTATAAAATGGATATTCCCTTTGGACAATAATTAGACCTAAGAAGGTCTAAAGCTCTCTGGGTAGACATGTGTTTTTCCAAATCAGCTTACCACCAGCAACACCAATGGGTTCCCTGACTTTTGGCTAAAATTCCCAATCATCTTTAGCCCACATCTGGTTTTCCCCCGTGTTCCTTATTTCATTAAAGGACACTATATGCGTCCTGTTGCTCATGTCACAAACTGGGGTACCATCCCTGACCCCTTCCTTTTTCTTGGCTGCCTCACCCAATTCAGCCCCCTTCTCGCAGATTCCTGTAGGTTTTCCCCATTTTTACTCCTACTATCTTAGTTGAGACCGTCATGACAGTTCCACAGGATTATCTCTAGAGCCTCCAACATACCCCTTTCTAATGATTCCTCCACTCTGCAGATAGGGTGATCTTTTTATAATTCAAGATAAAGTCCAAACTTTTAAATATGTATTAAGACTCATGTTTCTTTTATACCTCCAGAGGCTCAACCTTTGCCCCTTCCCACCTTGGTTTCAATGCTCCGGTCAAACTGAACAATTTAATTCCCCCATGACAGCAAGGCTGTTCCTGCTTTCTGGAATGCCTCTTCACTGCCCAGTTCCTTCTTGCCACTTCTTTGCCTGACCAACTCCTAGGTACTCTGTCTCAGTTTTGTCATCATATTCTAGTTTGAACACTTATCAGCAGTTGATGAGATGTGGGGTGGATCTAAAACCTTGTACTTAACCTTTTAAACTGTAACCATTTGTTTCCTATAAGCTGCTTGAGTGGAGAACAGTGCCATTTTAGTAGGGTCTAGTTTATCAAAATACCTACTGAACAGTGAACAATAAACAGCAGGCTCACCATGAATTCACTTTGGAGTAAATGTGAACTTGCCACGACGTCCCTCAGCTGTGATCTTGTGAGTATTCGGCTGGCTGACTGCAGATACTCCATTGCCACCTTCTCCCGTGGGGTTGGGATAGCCACAAAGGGTTCGACATTCCCCAAGCTACTCATGTCCAATGTAAGAGATACGTTGGACCCTCGTCTACGTTGGGGAAGAAGGTTAATACGTTTAGAAGACACACAAGTTATTTTGATAACACAAATTTGTCTTCTGTACATACATACTCACTATTCAGTGAGAACTTTTCCAGAAATAAGGACCAAATATCTTTTTCTCTTACGGTACCATAGTAGACTATAGCAACTATCCATAGTTTCTTTATAGGAAACTGGCAGTTTTGTTGCTGGAAATAAGTCTGAATTGAGAAAATACACTATAATTTATTAATGGGTATACTTGATACAAAAATAATGGGATGGCTAGTAATATTAAGTGAAAAATTCAGGAAAAGCAAACATCACATTTGAATTAAGAAATCACGTATAACACAAACCAACTTTATTGTTTGTATGTCTGAGAGCTCAGTATATAAATCATATAGCCACCTAATATTTCTGACATCGGTATACTGTACACATGATCTTACTGGACATAGGACGCTCAGAGAAAAAAAATATTTTGGTTCACATTACTGCCATTGAAATAGAATTTAAAAGTTTTAAAATGTATATATTGTTTATAACTTCTGAGTGAATCCTTAAAAAATAGCATCCGTATCCTCCATTTACGTGTGTATGTACGCATGCATATATATGTGTGTGTGTGTGTGTGTGTGTATTTATTTAATTCTGTGATAAACTCATAAGGATATTGAGGTCACAGACTCTTATTCTGAGTTATAATTTATCTTCCCTCTGTAATTTTCCTCTTCTAGTTGGGAGATGAGGTGGAGCTCTTCCAAGTTGTACAGGCCCCTTGTGTCTTGGATAGAAGGTATGAGTGCCTCTTACCAGTAACATTAGCTGTGTGGAACCAAGAAGTAAATATAAAACAGCCTGTGCAAGACTGAGGCTCAAAGTCAGAGATTTTATTCACAGAAACTATTAAATTTAAAGGGCCTTAGGTATGTATGAGGTGATCAAATATGGTGCCAAGTCGTTGGTGTTACAAGGAAATGGAGAATAGGGAAAAACAGGTCAAAACAAATGTGAACAAAGACAGTAAGAGCAAATACTAGGCCCAGCATATTTCATTTGAAGGGTGCTTCACACATTTTCTATAGAGCACTACATCAGGAAATATTCACGTGGCTAGAGCTTAATTTTCAACAATGGAAAATTATTAGAACATACAACAAAAACCCTCCATTAAATAAAAGCATGTAAGTTCCTTCCTCTTATGAATTGATATGTAATGTCATTTTTGTTAATTTCTAAATAGTTTGTAATTGTAGTTTTAATTCCTGCTTTGGCTTGATGTTTATTTGTTTATGAATTTATCTTCCTTATTAATTTCTAGTTATAGTACATGCAAATCATCCAACTAATGGTTGGACTTCTAATGTTTGGAATTTCTCAATTCTTTCTTTGAGACAAATACTATGATAAATTTTTCTAAATATTTCATAGATACTTTTGGGGGCAACTAGACTAATTACCTATTTATATCTATCTCTCTATAAATTTGGGGCACCTGGGTGGCTCAGTCGTTAAGCATCTGCCTTCAGCTCAGGTCATGATCTCAGGGTCCTGGGATCGAGCCCTGCATCAGGTTCCCTGCTCGGCAGGGAGCCTGCTTCTCCCTCTCCTACTCCCCCTGCTTGTGTTCCCTCTCTCGCTGTGTCTCTGTCAAATAAATGAGTAAAATCCTTATAAATTTATCTATGCACATATGTGTATATATAACATCTTATTATATTATAATATATTATTAAAGATATTATTCCAATCTATTTTTTCCTACTGGATTTCTCAAAGCCTGAGATGTATGTGATCTTCCACAGCACTTGTTTTGTTATTTTTCTTTATATCCCTGATAATTTTTACTTTATATATTTCAGCCATTGTTTTATTTGAAAAGATTAATAATTACATCTTTACTGTGCATTTTATCAACATTAAATATTTACTTTCCTATTAATTCTATGTTTTGCCTCACATCTGACTTTTCTTTCCAGTTTTAATGAGACAGAATTTATAGACGGCACCATATAAGCTTAAGGTAGACGGCATTATTAATTGACATACGTATATTGTGAAATGATTACCACAATAAATGTAGCTAACATTCATCATCTCCTATAGAAACAAACAAAAAAAAGTTTTTTCCTTGTGATGAAAATTTAGGATCCACTCCCTTAACAGCTTTCAAATGTACCATACATTAGTGTTAGCTGCAGTCATCATGTTGTACAGGACATCATGTACATTACATAACTTATTATATATTATTTGTCTTAAATGGAAGTTTGTACCTTTTGATTACCTTCCTTCAGTTCCCCCTCCTGCCACCTCCCACCTCCGACTTAAAAAAAAATTAGTATTGACATACCTGTTATATTTTTTTGCATGTTCTTGAAAAATCTTTTCTAGTTTTTTTTATTATGTTTAACTCTTTTGAATCACTGTTAGGGATTAGGGGATAGCATACTGGATACCCCATAAAAAATCACTTAGTTGATAGAAGAATGTTTGTCCCTCACCATATTGTGTGTGTGTGTGGGGGGGGGGCTGTTTTTAGTAATTGACAGGGCTCCTGAGGTTTTTGAGTAGGAGGTGAACAGTTGAGGAGGGTGAAGAGTGGTTCTATTCTCAGAGAAAGAATTTTAATCTATTTTTAGTGGGAAAGCAGTTTTTACAAGTTTCTCAATCCAGTTCCTCTGGCCTTTAAATTGTCAGAAATTCCTTCCTAATTCTGATAATACATTGTTTCTTAGTTTTTCGTGTATTTGTGAGAGTGTGGCTTTTGCTGGATTCATAGATTTTTTTTTAGTAAGGAGTTGGGACAGGACATTTAAGGAACTGCTAATCAGATGCCATTTTAAACCATTTTCCATCTAATCAATCTTCGGCCCCCAAAGACTATAAAGCATCTGCAGTCTGTCTATTGAGTGACGCTCAGTGCTATGGTGGTTTAGTAGAAAGGGAGGTCTCTTCCATCCAGAGTGGTCAGAGATGTATGAGGAGGGAGCATTTGAGTTAAGCATTGGAGGTAAAAGTTCAATAGATAAATTTTCGGTAAAGGGTTATTTCAGGGAGAGAGGCCGACAGGAGGAAAAAAAATGTGGAAGCAGGAAATGATAAGGCATCTTTGAGAAATGGCATATAAGCAGTTTGAGCTAGAGTTCAGTTGTATAAAAGTGCATTTTGGAATTGGGGGGTGGGGTTAGGTAGGAGAAATGAGAGAAAAGTAAGAGTCACAGACATAAGACTATGAAAAGCCTGCCCAAATCCAGAAAAGAGAATTTTGAATGTCAGCTTATAGAAACTTCTAATAGGGCTTTCCAGAGCATCCCCTGCCCAAACTTGGGGGATGAGAAGCCTCTGAGATTCCTCCTCTAATCAGTTCCATTTGAACGAGTGAGCAAAAATTCTGAAGATTCTGTGATAAAGTGAGAGCCATGGAAGCATTTTCATGCAAATTGACTTCATAAGGAAGAATGACTTTTGTCTGGCAAGGGAAGGAAGAAAGGAAGCTAATATTTATGAAACATCTGTGATTTGCCAAGCACTGTTCTAAGCACTCTCACATATGCTATTCCCATCTCTATAACTGCTCTCTGAGGTTGTTACTTTCCCCCATTTTATGGGTGAAGAAATAACTCACTTAGGAACACGAACGGGGAAAAAAGATTCAATCCAAGTTAGAGCATGAGACCCAAGCACTTTTTCTGATTTGCTACCCAAAAGCAGGGGTATGGTGGGCAGATTACGTTAGACTAGCCAGTGCCTTACGTGGAGGTGGGGGCCAGCTGTTAGCGGGGAGGTCAAGACAACTGAAGTCTAATGTAGGGACAGTGTACTATTCAGAGTACGAATTCTAGCCTTACAGTCAGGTTTGCCTGGGCTCAAATCCTGCCTCTCCCACCTCCTTGTGGTGGACCTTTGGTCAGGCTACTTAGCCTTGTTGCAGCTCAATTTCTTCTTCTTTTGTGAGTGAGTAATTAAGGATACCTACTTCAGAGGCATATTCCAAGGATGAACCCGATAGTGTAAGTACACTGCTTCTAAGAAGTATTGTCTGGTTATTATTTTGGGTAACAATGGAATAAAGTCTGATATGACTCTCACCTTCTGCCTCTCTAAGGGATCTATTTTAAGAGATCTTCGCCAAAACGCAATAATTGTTTACATTGAGATTAACTTTAATGTTTTGAAAGGAACGGACAGAATCTACACATTTGTCATTACAGAAAAATACATCCTTCTTGATAACCAATTTATCTTAAAATTTCCCTTTATATGGTAAATCCATTTCCCCCAAAACCTAAACAATTCCAGAACACTTCACCTCAACACCTCAGACAATGTCTCAAAGTTCAATTATGGAATTAACCAAGTATAAGCTGTTGACCTTGCAGAGAGCGTTCTTCCACAGAACAGCCCTTATCAAGATAGTGCTCTTCTACCCAGGCTGTGAAATATTACCATAGGATGTCATTAACTTGGAAAAATCTCTGCTTTTGTTAATTCTTATCTTCAAGGAACAAACAATATTTAAGTTAATTGAAATATAGTGGAATTAGAAAATCAGATCAGGAGAATCAACTTAAAAAAATCTATCCACTTCTTAGTCATGTCCTGTGCTTATAGAAGACATTAAACATACATCTATAAATGTTTTAAAGTGCTAATTCTTTTCATTATAAAAGTAACACATGCTCATTGTAGAAGATTTGTGGAAGTTAGAAGTTTAAAAAGGAAATTAAAATCTCTCAGTCACATAAACTTCACTAGCTTTTAAATTGACTTTTAAATTTTGCTATGTTAAGGGCAATAATGGCAGTGACTTATTGTTTTAAATTTTATTTCTTTGGTTAGAGATGGGGATAAATACATTTTGACACGATTACTGTTCATTTATCAGTCCTTACCTTTGAGAATTGTCTGTTCATGCTCTTTCCTAATGTTTACATTGGAGCATTAATGTATTTATTGTTGATGACTATGATATATAAGAAATTATTTCTGAGATACATGTGT